GCCAACTCTCGTCGTCGTCCGAATCGGGCCGTTGTCTACTGAACTCCTTTTTGCAGAACTCTTGCCATAATTCGTCCGTTTCGTCCATTATTTGCTATAATAATCATAATTCTCATCAAAACAATGGACACAAACAAATGCAATATTAAGTCTATTCACAGGATTTAAGCGTTCAATTCGTGACAACTGTTTAGTGTTGCACTTCTGGAGCACTGTTTTGAGCAGATAGTAGGGCGCGTCACCCAAGTAGTAGATTTTGTCCACATTGTCCGTCAATACACTGATACACAGGTCCTCCAGCTTATGGACGTGAGTGTAGGTCCGGTTGCGGGCCTGACCCGCGAACACAGCCGTCCGACCCTTTTTGCTCTGAACGTTATAACTAAGCTCATCGTTGTTGGCCTTAACCGTCTTCCGTCGGGTCGCCGCCTCCACCCTCTCGTCAATAATCTCTCGATTGGGAAGTGGTTTATAGTTAGGCGTCGGCAGACTGGACAGTATGTCCGAGTGCTCCAGCGATTTAAGCCTATGCTGTGACTGCAGCTCTTTTGGGGGCCGAGACTGAGACGAACTATAGTCGCCGTCCCCTCTCTCGCGCTTAATGTGTTTGCTATGACTCTTGGATTCTGACGAATGATTGGATAATTTGTGGTGTTTTTCAGGCGTTTCCGTTTTCTTGGCGACGGAACCCTTCTTGTGATCCCTTTTCACAATCTGGTCGTTGAGACCCAATAGTAAATCAAACTCTGTTTTCACGCCATTCTGTGTCTCGCTTTCGCGCGACTTATGACTCGATTTGTGATGTTTTCTGTGTTTCCTATCACCCGATGATCTCTCCTCTCGATCCCGATGTTTGTGTCTATCATTTACAGGAGATTTCTCGGACCCGTCGTCCGAATCGTTATACTCTCTCTTAATCTTATCATCACTTCGTTTATCGTTCATTACATTCAGAGTTCTGTCAAAGGATTCGTCGAAATCCTGTTCATCAGGATCTTCGTCGAGCTCCGGCTCCTCCGCCTCTTCTCGCTTAACACTGACATCCGGTTCGTCATAATCGTAGCCATCGTTGTGATTGTCGTCGTCGCTATCGTTGTCCTCGAGGGCCTGTCTCTCCTGTTCCTCTTTGACGGCTGCCTTCCAGGAGACGCACAACAGTTTAGCCGTTTTGCCGATATCTGAGTCGTTTTGTTTGCTTAGTTTGCGTACAGTTTTGCCGATTTCTGTCTTCTGT